TTTTTTTTTCTATAAAAATGTTACCTACTTTTTACATAATATTATTTTTCACTTTTTATAATATTTTACATAACAACATGAACCATCTAGCATGTTACAATTTAACATATTCTCTTTTTTTGTTACATTCTAAGAAGTATTGTTACATATTATTAAATTATCTTACATGTTACATATATTGTACTTGTTACATTGCCCAGAGTATTCTTACATGTTGCATATTATCTACTTGTTACATTCTGCAGAATATTGTTACATATCGTTACATGAACTTACATGTTATACATTATCTACTTGTTACACTCTACAGAATATTGTTACATATCATTACATGATCTTACATGTTATATATTATCTACTTATTACATTTTACAGAATATTGTTACATATCATTACATGATCTTACATGTTACATATTATGTACTTGTTACATTCTACAGAATATTGTTACATATCATTACATGAACTTACATGTTATATATTATCTACTTTTTACGTTCTACAGAATATTGCTACATATCATTACATGATCTTACATGTTACATATTATCTACTGGTTACATTCTACAGAATATTGTTACATATCATTACATGATCTTACATGTTACATATTATCTACTTGTTACAGCTTCTCCAGAACATGATAAGTTAGATGATTGTTTTCTCGTGACGTCATCTGTCTTGTTTACAAAGCTTGTTTATTTTCTAAATTCCTTGGTTGTGTACTGACAATGGGTATGACAAATCAGTACTAGGCCTTGCCGGGAGCCAGGGAGGGAGGTAGGAATGGTCATTGAAAACTAGGGGTTGGGGAGGATGACGAATTTAAAATAAATAGTTTTAAAATTTCACCATACACTGTAAATAAACAAGATGTTTGTTTTTGCAAAAAATCTTCTTATCATCAAGACTAATCTTAGATGCTCAACCAGACTAATCTTAGATACTATCCAGACTAATCTTATATACTCATCCAGAAAAATCTTAGATACTCAACCAGACTAATCTTAGATACTATCCAGACTAATCTTATATACTCATCCAGAAAAATCTTAGATACTCAACCAGACTAATCTTAGATACTCAACCAGACTAATCTTAGATATATCTCAACTAGACTAATCTTAGATACTCATCCAGACTAATCTTAGATACTCATCCAGACTAATCTTAGATCCAAAACTTTCCATTTCCGTTCCCACTACACTGTAGTATATGGTATATGGTATATTGTGCAATATTGTGTAAGCAATTTTCCCACACTATACTTTTACACCCTTTCTTTTGTACTTTCAATTGAGGTTGACAAATTTCCACCTTTAAAGCCTCATTTCCGCAAAATGCTTAGCATTTTCGTAAATTTGTCTAAAAGTTAGAAACAAATAGAAGTTTTCAAAGAAAAAATTGCCAACATTTTTTAGTTGCTCGAGCAAGAATATTGTAAAAGTATACATTTTTTACATTCACTTAGTTTTATAAAATAGAAATCTTTTTATCCATTTATTAAACTTTACAAAACTAGTTTTAAAGATTTGAAGATTTTACACCTTTAACGAATTATGAATTGTTGACAAAATGTTGGAATAAATCTTTTCAGATTCTTTTAATAAAGTTAAAAAAGCAATGTAACAATGGGTACACTGCCTGATACCTGTACCCTTGCAGGAATCCCCCATTGGATTTAGTTTCATGAATACATTGCAATTGAATGTTTATTTTGTTATTGTTAGAATGGCAAACAATGATACAAGGGGCCATACATTCATGTATCCAGCTTTCTTTCGAAGGGAGGAAGGCCAACCACAACAATTACTCGTCCGAGCCACCTCGACATTCTCGTCCTTCCCAATGATAGAGATGCTTATTTGTAGAACATCATATATTCTCAGATTAATTTTTTTTTGCAAAATTTAATATTTGCTTTGCCGTAACGTACACAAATTAAAAAAATAATTTTAGATTCAGGGGTTGGACATAAAAAAATATTATTGGAAGGAAGTGGATTTTGAGGTGGCTCAGACGAGAAAATGAGGAGAATGTGGTTCGGACGAGATATTGGCCTTCCTCCCCTCCTCCATCCCTCCACCTATTCACGGATATATTTATCTATTCATCTATTCTATTCAAATGAGTTGCAAAAACAAATTTCTAAGTAGAGGGAGAGAGGGGGGTTTAAAAAAGTCTATATAAGGAAATCTTGTATAACAATGGGAGTAATCTACAGAGTATAAATCAGAATGTAAAAGACGATTCTTAACCATTAAGAGAGAAAATATGCTGGGAGGGGGGGGGGGCAATAGATTAATTTCATTAAATTAATAGGTAATTTCAATTTAGTTTTAAATCATGAAATTTTTTAAAACATATCTCTTTTTCTATAAAGCGCGTACGAAAAGAAAAGTATCTACGTCCAGAATTCGTTCATGAAACAATGAATGAAAAAAATATGTAAAATTGAAATTTTAAGAGTTACGAGGTATCAAAATAGTACCAGCAGTTTTGGGCTTTGACACAAAATGAACTCATTCCTTATTTCCTCATATGAGATTAAATGGGGGGGGTTACAAGAATGGATTTGAGCACATAAGTAGGTTAAATAGTTGACAGTTCGAATGATTGACTGATTGCTTAGCTGATAATTAAACTATCTAGATGCTCGACAATGTAGAGAATGTATTAAGCAATATGTTTAGGATTAGACGAATTCTCATAGAGAGAGAATTAAGTATTACAATAAACTATCTAGAAATTAACCTGGTCCAGCCAAATTGAAATCAGTTAAATGTATATTTTGACGGCCAAATTCTAAATATAGTGACAAATATTTTGTGACAGTTTATATAAAAAAAAATGTTGTACATAGCATAAATTTTTTTTTTGATGGAAAGAAATAGGAGATGTACATTTTCAAATCCATTTAAACTCTACATTACAAAAATTAGATCACACAAAAAAAACGGAATTATATTATAATATTTTTTGTTTTGCCCCTGGAATCAAGAAAAGATTTTTAAAAACTTTTTAACAATAATATTTCTATCATGAAATTTACTTTTAGCCTATCCCAAGGTTATCCCTGGGTTCCTAATTGGTTAAGCCGTTTGGCCAGCTGTAGTCAACATAAAAATATATAAATATATACATGAACGATGAAGAGTTTCATTAGATAGATAGAATGTTATGCATCACATCATTGATTTTTTATTTAAATGTCAGCCTAAAACATTTATGTCATAATGAATATAAATTCGTATATAATATTAATAGATTGATATAGATAAATAGATAGATAGATTATGCATGTATATAGATATTTATAATATATTCATGTATATATAGATATTATATATTCATGTTCACAGTATGAAACTCTTGTCATCCTATGTAACGTCAAATCTTGATCAATGGATGGCATGCAGTGCAGAATGGAGGAGGGGGGGGGAGAGAAAAGGGCAAGGCGAGATAGGGTAATAAAAAGACAACGGAGTCAGGAAAAGGGGGAACGGTGACATTTAAACGTTTAATGCCTTAAAAAATGGTTTCTAAGCTTTTATTTTAGTAACTGTGCATACTGTCATACTCAAGCCANAATGTTACAACATGAAGAAATGTGTAAAATGTAAAGAAATTATGTTGAATGTTACAACGTGAAGAAATGTGTAAAATGTGAAGAAATTATGTTGAATGTTACAACATGAAGAAATGTGTAAAATGTGAAGAAATTATGTTGAATGTTACAACATGAAGAAATGTGTAAAATGTAAAGAAATTATGTTGAATGTTACAACGTGAAGAAATGTGTAAAATGTAAAGAAATTATGAAAGTATATAACGGAAGTTAATCAAGTAACCTCATGGGATTAAACCCCGTGGAAACCCTGCAATATTTCTTATTTCTAATATGCAAGATGTAGGATTAAGGAAGGAAGTGGGGATAAGGGTTAGAATGGTGGAGGGGGGGATGAATTAGAAGGGGGGGGAGAAATTTTAATGTAAAGATAAGATTAGTGGGTAAGAGCTTAGATAAAGTTTATTCTGATTTACATAAAAAGGGGGGAAAGTTGTATTATATTTATAATGGCGCTCAAACTAAATTTAATTCCAGGAAAGATTGAAATGCTTTATGTTTTCTATCAACTCCTCTTCTTGAGAAGTAAAAATGAAAAATGCCGATATCTTTTTAAATCACCTCCTGCTATGGAGTGTATGTTTGTACATGTACTTAAAATCATGATTATGAAAGTGCTAAATAAATAATGAACCCTCTTTAGTTTTTAACTACTAACTCCCGATCTCATTAAAATTGTGCATTGCGCACACTGTACAGGGAGGTTCAATAAACATAGTACTTTTTTAATCAACTTTAGAGCGGCTTTGTTTTGTCTTATTTCAAAATTTTGAACCTCAGTCTCATTTGTTTTGAATAAACTTGCGCACATTATGCTTCCGTTCTCATTATCATTGTGCGCGCTTGTCTTAGCTGGTGGTACTCTCATGTTTCAAGATGTATGCGCGCATTGTTAAAGGGATTGTAATCGCAAATTTTAAGTGAACTTCCATGTAAAGATGGTAATATCCGAGTTACAACGGTACCATTTAAATCTTTGTCTGATCAGGTGTGTACTATATATTAATGTTTGTCTGATCAGGTGTGTACTAGATATTAATGTTTGTCTGATCAGGTGTGAACTAGATATTAATGTTTGTCTAATCAAGTGTGAACTAGATATTAATGTTTGTCTGATCAGGTGTGAACTAGANACTAAGTATACAATAAGTAATTGAATTGTTAATGTAAATTGTAAGTAGGTAGATAAATCTACAATATACATACAATCCTAGATAGATAGATAGATTTTAAATCATGCACGCACACGGGGGGGGGGGCATTTGCCCATGCCCATATTCTACCTGGAAAAGTAATAAATTCGGTCAATTTTCTGTCATGTTTCTACTGCATAAATACTTTCATTATTGTTCATTATTATCGCCTTTCAAACAGTAAATCAAGTTTTGCTCTGAACAAGTTTTAAAGGACGCTGTTGAGAATAGGACATGTAACTCTTCAAAACTTAGTTTTGTTTTAAATTCCTAAATTTCTTGTCATTCACCCCCCCCCCCTCCCCTCCCGGCAGTGTCCTTCTATTGTTGATCTAAAACTAGAATTCTATTGTTTTAACATTATTAACAATCATCGTTTCTGTCGGAACCCCAAAGTTGACCTATTGATATTTTACAGACCTTGTACCTCTAAAACTAGGTTGCGAGCCCCAAACCTCTTTGTAATGTATGTTTGACCTTCAAATGTTTTTGCATGTCATTTATAACTTCTACGTTGGCCTGTAAAATATAGCCCCCCCCCCCTCCGTTTTTCTACAAAAAATTCTTCTAAACAACATATATTACATTTACTAACTTGCGTTATTTAGCACAATCCATTTTGAACAACAGCGTACTTGAAATGCTTTAAGAATTAAAGATTTAAAAAAAATGGATTTATGAAAGATTTGCTTTATTGTATTTAGTTAATTTACCTTTTTCTAAACACAAAAAAGTTTTTTCTAGGGATAGAAATTGCTTTTTTTAAATTTAGAAAATCACTCTTTTAAATAAAAAACTTTATATATTTTAAGAAAGTTACTCTAATATAAAAAGTGTTCGTATATCTTTATTATATTGTAATATTAAAATAACTTATCTCTATAGAAAACATAGAAAATATAGAAAGGAGGTTAGTCTTTGCCACAACCTCAAATTTTCTATAAATCCCTATATCTTATTAACACGATGGTGTATACCTTTGGCATTTCAAACTTAGATTATTTGAGTCAACAGAATTCATAGTTTGAAATTTTTAAGGTCTACGACGTTGGGTTGCAAAGAAATATATATTAGAAAATCAGAGTTTGTGACAAAGATTCAATTCCTTTATCATATATTATTACCATGACCCTTACTTGCTTCTAAAATGTGAATTATACCTTTATACAAAGTTTAAACTTGTTTCATATGATATCAACTTATTTAAGATTTCTATCCAAACAAATAAATAATAATAATTTCTTTAAAATCGTTCACAATATAGATCCAGACCAATAAGACAAGCTACATCAAGACTAAGAACGACTTTGAAATATCGCAACGCCTTAGCCTCACATAGATTCAGGCTGCTTATAAAATTTATCAATTTCTATGACAGGATCGACTGTGAAGTGTCGCAACGCCTTGGGATTTGATTTACCGCTCTAACTTACTTATGTTTTTTGTAGCCCTTTAACTGTACATTTTAGCACTTTAAAGCACTTATGCTTAAGAGCATGAGACCTTTAAATCACAGTGGCATATTTGATTCACTTGATCACTGTGCGTTGTGAATTTACTTGCGTGCAATTCCGCGCAATTCCTTGAAAATCGAGCCCAATTCTGCGCAATTCCGATTCATTGGGGAAACCCCAGACGAAATACTATCTAACTCCGTAGTCGTATAGTTCATAGATTAATACCAATACAGATAGAACACTAGATGTCGTCTTTTCAAGATTTAGGGTTTTTTCGTTCACAATTTAACCCCGAGGCAGAAGCCCAAAGCAGTTACGCGCATGCTATCTCTCTGTCTTTTAATTTAACGCGGCGTAACTCCCGTGGGCTTCTGCCTCAGGGTTATTGTGAAAGAAAAATTTCCAAATCTTAAAAAGACAACATCTAGTGTTCTATCTGTATTGTTATTAATCTATGAATGAGGATTTGATGAGGTTATCAATAATGAAACCCCAAAACTAATTGAAACCTTTAAACTTACCAAACCATACAGAGTTATATAGTATCCTTCACCTTTCACTTATCTTACTGAATACATTATTATTATTGCCAAATAGTTCACGCAAATCTAAATAGATTTATGTATGTCCGAACAGTATTGGAATGAACTCGGTTTAGATATAATCTGTTAAAAGCCATCAAATAAAGTGAAATGGACCTTATCTAAAAATTCACATTTACTAGTGGAAAAATGACTAATAAAAATTAGAATATCTGGAATCCTGTGATCTGTTAATTGTCAAAAATCTTGACAATAAGTCCAAAGGAATTGAATCTTTTCAGTTTTCAACAAACAGAATTCAAATTAAATCTTTTTTAGAAACATCGTAAAGTTTTTCATCAAAATCTAATAAATATGTTTAAAACTTTAAAAACAATACAGCCTTTTACTCAATTTTGTTTTTCTATAGCTTAACAGATTTTTATGTTATACACAATCAAATTTACCATTTTAAAAAACTTACTTTTTTGTTCAGCATGAATTTATTTTAATCGCAAGCTTATTATTTATTCTACTCATATTCTTATATAAGTTCGTATAAGCTGTTTCTATAAAAATAGTTTTAGAAATAGTTTTTAAAATTATTATATTTTTCAGACTCAGATGCTCAGCAATGATAAAACCATTATCCCAGCGGAAGCTTGAAAAACACGTGTCAGCTGTTAAATCTGAAAAATCAATCTTGGCGATCAATAAAGTGAAGAAAGCGATTGGTCGATCTTCCAGTCAAGAACGATCGGCGGTTGATCCCTTGTCCCGGGGCGGTATGACTGGGCGGGAGGGAGGCGGTATTCCCCGCCCCAATGTAACCAGCTCACCAAGCAAACTTGCAATCAGAACAAATACAAAACTACTTGGGAGCAAGCAAGATCAAGTTGGAAGATCATTCTCTGGTGATCATAGATCGCAACCAAGTGAGCAGGGGCTTAGATACCCTGTAGGGGGGCAAGGTCCTACACCAGGGGCGCAGCAGGGGTACCAGAAGGGGTTACAAAAGACCCTTGTGAGCGACAAGCTTTATCCCAGGTAAAGTCTAAACTTAAAGAAAGTCTGAACGTACATAACTAACCCTTCATTGATGGATTGCCCTGTCCGATTCACAACAATACCCTTAAAAGATTTGTCTGTTTAAATAATAATCAGATATTTAAGTTTTTGTTTTGTAGCCTGAGCTGAAAACTTTAGAATGGGATATCCTTAATCCCGATCGGTTAATTAATCTGGAGATTAATAATAAGAAGAGAACAAGCATTATTTAATCTCGAGATTAAGAAAAAGGATTGATTGAAACATTTCCACCATTCAAAAGTTCTCAGCTCTGATAATTTTTATTACATAAGTGAATTGCACAATGCGCTGACAACGGAGAAACAAATAAAAAAGAAGTTTTAAGATGTAAAAACCCCGGACGTTTTCTTCCACTAGATCCGTTAAAGTTTCAAGGGTATGCCACTGTGAAATGGACACGAGTCTCTTTAAATGGAGGGTCATCTAAAATTTCAACGACAGTCCCTTTAAAAAAATCAACCCCAGATTACACAGAGATGATTTAGTTACTGTTCAATGTCGACAACTTGTTAATGATACCCCAATTCAATGTCAGCAAATAACGCCATTCATACTTTCAATGCTTATAAATTACAAATATTTAATTCATAGCTAGTTTTTTTAGAAACTTAAAAGGAACCCCATTTTTTAAGCTTCAGTGATTCAGAATTTTTTTTCATTCTAGCAATACGTTATAAGCAATGATCATATTGGCTGAAACTATTTTTATCACTAAAGTGTTAGAAAATATGAAAACAAGATATTTGACTTTTTAACATAAATCATAAAGCCCGAGGGTCCATTTTAACTTTTGTTTTTGAAATTTATAAAGGCCCACTTTAAACTGTACATATTTCATTTTAAAACTTTCCTTTTATTTTACAATTACAAAACTTCCTAATTATATGTCGAATAATAAATACTCAATCGATTGTTCCAGGGAGCACAAAAAAGGCAGACCACATTTTAGAAATGCCAGGACTAGGGATAATTTGTAATTATGAACTCTGGAATTAAACTTATAAAATTAGATGTACGAATTAAATGCTGCAAATTAATTCAAAGATCAAAGACGACCCTCAAGTCGTCTTATTACTGTCATGTTTTGTGTGACACCCTGTAAAAAATTATGCATGCCTTTCAATATTCCTATTCCTAAGATCTATTTTAAATCATCATTTATTTTCAAATTCTTCTTCTTTCTCCATCATGATTATTCTGTTGACTTCTTACTGTAGGATATCCAGTGAGCAGCCCAACTATCATCCATCCTCCCCTCAGCGCTCCCATACCCTGTCAATGATTCCATCCCACACCTCTCGGACAAAACTAGGCAGTGCTGCGGTAAAGACGACATTTAGTTCTTCGACGTCGTCTTCCGTGCAGTACACACAGTCTTCTAGTAGTTCAACGCAGTCTACACAGTCCACGGGTAGTTCTACGCAGTCTACACAATCTAATGGAAGTTCTGCACAGTCTGGTAGTTCTGTGAGGTTTAATACTGAGTCTACAAGTACATCCACAGGACGGGGTACACTTGCTGTACAGTACAACAATAATCAACCAGGTAACAGAATTAATATCGCCCTCTGGGATTTTACAGGATTATACCCTGTAAGTATGGTGGAAAGACGAAATTATAAACAATAGAATACTAGTGGTTTTCTATTCCAGAGTTTTTTTTGGTTCTCAGTGATAACCAGAAAACTATGGAATATAAAGACGACTTTTAGACTCAAGATATGACTTGCAATAGTCCAATTAACATGAGACACAGTAATTGCTCATTGTAAGGAGACCCATTTCACTTAATTAATGATTTAATAACTTTCCAGTTAGGCTATTTGCTTTGTAACAACATCAAATGCCCTTCAGTATTGCACTAATGTCGTCTTCCTATGCCAAAGTTTTATGGTTATCACTGTATGATACATGTAGACAGATTTATTTAGTTATTCTTGTTTTCAGGGTTTCATGACGACATTATACAGTTTAAAACTTATATCTAATATAAAGTATGGATCTATGTTTAAAAGCTATGAATATGGTTGCATAGATTCTCATTTGTGATTTTAACAGTGGTTGTCGTATATATCAATACAAGAAAGATCATATTCCTGTTTTGATTTCTACCAACCTTTCATACAATTCATAGACTTAAAGAAATGCTGTCAATTTAAAAGGAAACTATTTAAAAAAAATTAAATCCATGACGAAAAAAATACACTTTTATTTCAATATATATTTTAGTTCAAATCGATGTTCTAAAACAATAATATTTTAAAAACGAAGATTATTTTTCCATTATTTAACAGGGTAACTGCTGCAGTTGAATAAAAGCTAGGTTAGAAATAAAAACTGAAAATAAAAAGTTGTCATCATTTTATTGATATTAACGCTGACCACTGTACTATCAAATTGTAGACCAATATTTTTAGATCTTCACAGATTTTTCCACAAAACTTAAAGATAATATTTCACGAAAAAACATTCATGCGCGCATATTCTGGGTTGATGAAAAAAGTTTAACCTTATAAATCAGCTCACTTATTGGTAAACAAATTTCTTTGAGGAAACCCCTTTTTGAAATATAAAATTTCTGTTGGTTAAGGTTGGACAACAAAGAATTTGAAGTAAATTATAAAGTTCTTCTTTCAAACATTTGTTGAATTTTTATGTCTCACACGTTTTGACGCAAATCGATCAGTTTTTAAATTTCTTGGTCACGACTGTAAAATGTTTTGCGTAGACGCAGGAAATGATTTATTCCGTTTGATGGTTTTCTCGGGAGAGTGGATATTATGCAGAATGGTGGAATTGAATTTTTGAGCGTTAAAGCGTAACCATATAAAACTGAGCATGAAATCAAAGCCCAAAATTCCAGATTTTTCCACTTTCTCTCTGTCCTTCTCTCTACCATATTTTATCCAAGTTAACTAAAGTTGTAACACGAATTAAAAATTTGTTTTTTTTTTGTAGATATGACGTAAACATCGTCCCCCTGCATTAATATTTTAGATAGGTAGATACTTACTGCATTGTATATTGTATAATATATATGGATATAGTGTTTAAATATACTCTTCCCTCAAGGTTTCTCTCGCACTTAAAATAAATTGTAAATATATTCAATATTTCAGGCAACTCAATTAAAGGCATCATGAAGGCCGATGTTACGCAATACCCACCCTCCTCCTCCTCCACAACCCGACCGAAGCCTTACTCTTCAACTTCCAACCCTTACCCCCCTGCGTCAACCTCCTACCCCCCCTCCTCTGCACCCTACCCCTCCTCCTCCTCCTCATCCTACCCAAGCTACCAATCTACTCAAACTCAACAATTAAACATCCCTAGCTCCCTCCCCTCCCTACCCCAAGGTCAGCTTGGTCAGCAGAATATCCCCTCATCCTTCCCCTATAATCCTAGTTACGCAAACCAAACACATTCCATGCAAATACATCCGAACCAGGGACAAAGTGTTGGTCCACCGTCAAACCAACAAAATGGGTCCCATTCTGGTCCAGTCAATCATAACCGTGGACAATCTAATCTTAATAATGGGCATGAAGCAGTCAACGGTCATGGACCAACGAACAGTCAAGGGCTTGGTCACAACATTGCCGGGCACGGGTCTTATCTCGGGACAAGTAGTGTAAAAATAGGAAATCCGCAGAATATTGGACAAAATTCGCAAAATTTTGGACAAAATCCGCCAAATATTGGACAAAATCCGCAACATCCCCAAAAAGGTTTCTCCAGCCAATATTCTGATGGTTCTAAATCTCAACACCAATATCCAGGATACAAGGGACCTGGACCTGGACTTTCAAGAAACTTTCCACATTTATTGCACTCTAGCCATCCATCCCAACCTACCCCACCTCCATACACTCAACCCCCGCCACCAACCCCATCATCATTCGATGTAGCCCCCCTGCGACTGGACGGAGAAGATTTAAATTCTTTGAATCACAGCGACCTGTGTCGAAGACTGATATCTGTAAAAGGAGACTTGAAAAAATTGTCGCAAGAAAACGGAAACATTGTCGCAGATTTGAATAAGAAACTTCAAGATCAAATCAATGAAATTAGGAAAACAAACAAATATGAAACTTTTTTAAATTAATAATAACTTAGATCCAACATTTTTTAAATCATAAACTGTAAAGGAATTGAGCCTTTGCTACAAACTCAAATTGTCTAATCCCTATTATCTTTGTGACCTGATGGACCTGATATTTCAAACTAATTTCAAATTAGATATCTAATATAATTCATGGTTTAAAAAAATGTTGCTATAGATAGGGGTTAGAAAATCAGATTCTGTGGCAAAGACTCAATTTCTTAATAAAAGTATTTCATTTCTTGTTTTTGTCAGAAACCTGAAAGAGTTAAACCAGCGGTTAACAGAGGATAGCCAGGTATGCATTTAAATATATTTTTTAATCATCTCTTTCTTAGAAAATCTTTAAAAATTTAGGATAATATACTATTTTTTTTTATTTGAGATATTGAAACAATTTGACGTGTTGTCCCAGAGTTGAACGTTATGAACTAAAATTAAAATAAAATGTCAACAACAGCACCAATTTTATTTTTTCAATACTTATTTCTTGATATTTTTTATTTTTTTGTTATGTAAACTAAAATAATTATTACTAAAAAAATTGCACTATTTGATTAAAAGGTTAAAGTAAAAAAACACAATTTCAAGAATTCAGGATTTTATCTGAATAATTTTTGACAAAAACTTTAATTAAGGAATTGCGAGACCTGTGTTGCTTTCTAGACGATGATCGTCAAAAGGGCAGAAAACTAGCAAGAGAGTGGCAAAGGTATAACCAAGAGAATAGGATATATATTAGAGGGGAATTTACTATAAAAAAGTGTAAAACGGCCATTTTGTTGTACTGTTTCCATACTGCAGGTGTATTTTACATGTTTATGCTATATAACCTTTTGGGCCCTGGAATATCATTTTATAGAAAATCTAAAATTAATGTTAAAAGAAAACCAAATTATGAAATAGGCTGGTTTCATAATTGACCAATGATCATTTCACATAGACTCTATGCCTTTCACTTTACAAACGATGATTTTTCGTTATAACTATAAATCAAATGATGTTTTTTATTCACCAAATTCATTATAAAGTTTATTTAACAGCTTTAAAAATCGAAATTGAAATGAATAGTCTAGGGAGCATACTGTATGAATGTACTCTACTGCATATAATTTGTGAACATTTACATGATTTGTAAACTTTAAACTCCTTTTCAGGCTGAAAAAGACTGAAAAAATTCATACCGAGAGATTATCTCAATTCCACTCTAATATATATTCTATTCTCTATGAAAGGGCAAAAAAGGATGATAGACTCAAACAATAATTAAGTGACAAATATTTCTATGCTAAGTTGACAAAGAATAATGCACATTGCACAAGGCATAGATTAGAAAAGACAAAGAAATGAAGTGGCAAAGATAAACATTAGCGAAGTATTAAAAAAACAATGGTCAAAAAGCAAAAAGTTTAAAAATACAAAACTTGATTAAATAACGTCAGTCAGATAATTTTCGTTTTCTTTAAAGGTTTGGACGTTACACTGCATCAGTGATGAGACAAGAGGTGTCCAACTACCAAACCAAACTCAGGTAATAAAGGAAAAAATCCGCCAAAAACTTATTTCTAAAAAAAATAAGATAGTTAAAGAACATTTAACATTATGTAAAACACACATAACAAATTTTGCTGTAGAGTTATTCTGTGTTTTCGGAAAATTAAATATTATTACTTAAACCTTTAAATCCATTTACAATTTGTCTATCAATTAAAGCATTTACATTTGGCTGCAGTTTACCATAAAATCTCAATTTGTGATAATCACTTATAAAGTGAACTTGTTAAGCAAACTACTATAAGAAGCTTTTTAATTTTTAATTTGTTATTTTTACTTTCCAAGAAAGAATTTCAGAAAAGATAAAATTTAATCTCGAACTCCGAGATTGTCAACAAAAACTAATCGATTTTTTATATTTTTTCTAGAGACCTGGATGGGAAACAGCAGGCGCTAGTCAAGGATAATATTGAGCTAAAAGTGGGTTTTTTACTTAATTCTTAGCTGTACAATCTAGATTGTACATAAGCTGTATATGATGTACTGTACAGTGTACAGGTTTCGTCTACCCATATTGTAACATTGTAATTTTATATTATAATTCTTTGAAACAATACAAGGGAAACTTTATAGTTGAAAACAATGGGTGTACTTTCAAAACAAACATTTTTTAATGAAGAGGGTAGTTGAGGAGATTGTAGACAAAATTTCAAGTGACCTTCCAATCTCTATGCAAAGATAGCAATGCCCGATTTACAACGGTACCCTCGAAACCTTAATCCGATCAAAAATGCAAAAGATTTTCTGTTTTCAAAATTAAAAACATAGAGTTCTAATTCATGCTTAATCAGACAAAGCTTTTACGGGTACCATAGTAAACTGGACATTGCCATCTTTGCATGCACGGAGGGTTGCTTACAGTCACTTTAAGCCGATGTCTCACAATTTGTATTTTTAAATGATTCTAATTTGAAATTTTGCAGGAGCTCTGTTTGTATTTGGATGAAGAAAGAGGGAATGTAAGTGTCTGTATTGAATGCGGAGGTCCCTCTTCCCATACCATCCCCTCATCCCTCCCATCCCCCCACCCTCCCCTCCTCCCATCAAGGGACGAGGGTGACGGGTCGTCTTCTTCAACTAACAATGACGATTCTGAAATATCGTCGTCCAACCTGGCCGACGAATTGAACGCTGTAAGAGTAAGAGAGGCGTTGTACAACAAGGAGTTTAAGATAGGGAAATCTGGATTAAATGGTGAGAGTCAATTTTACAATTTTTATTAAAGGGACTGTAATCGTAATCGTGAGTCTCCACACTCCATGCAACATATATCCATTCCATGATTCACCACGTTACTCTTAAACTTCTATCTGATCAAGGATGGACTAGGTATCAATGTTTTTAATTCTAAAAACTGATAATTTCTAATCGTGATTAAGGCATTTAACTACTGCAGATAAGCATTTAGGAATATCAGAATTAAAGGAAAAAGGAGAAATTGTTTATCAGAAATAGGATTCAAGGGTACCGTTTCAAATCGAGCATTGTATTTTTTGCACGGAGGGTTACTTGCAATTACGTTTACAGTCTCTTTAAGATTAATAATTTTCTTTGCTTCATTGTTATTAGAGTTTTACAAGAAGTTTTTTTTTATTCCTTCAAACTCTTTATGCGAAATCATTAAGTATCTACAATCTATATATATCAAATATATATCAATATATATCATATATATCATATATATCATATATATCAAATATATATCAATATATATCATATATATCAAATATATATCATATATATCAAATATATATCAATATATATCAATATCATATATATCAAATATATATCATATATATATCAAATATTACTTTTATAAAGTTACTAGCTTGGGAACTCAGCGCTGCCAAGGTTACTAAAAGTTGCTCCCGCCGATAAATACGCCGAAAATACGCCTTGTTGCTATACGTAGCTGTTTCTATACGTTGGATTTCTATAAGGTTTGACACTAACCAGCACTTGAACGATTTTACCGGGAAACTAAATTTTCTCTATTAAAGTCGACCCACATTCACACAACTTAAAATCTCAAAACCATACAAAGAACATTCCAGTGGGACCCTCAAGTTCTTCATTCAAAATTTGAGGCAGTCCAGGGGTTCCTAAGTTATGATCGGACAAACAAACAAAAAGACATCCAAATAGAGATTTTATATATAGACTATTTCAAAAATTTTAAACTCTGGATGTTTTGCAAAGGACCAGGCCTTTAGATCGTCAAAGGAATTAAGATTTGGCCACAAACTCTGATTTTACCTATGTTTGCAACCTAATGTCATAAACCTTTGAAATTTTAAACTATGAATTTTGTAAGTCTGAAATAACACAGGGTATGACATCAGGCAGCAAAGATATAGAGATTTTAAAAATTAAGCTTGTTTTAAAACTCACCTTTTTAAGGCAATCTTGTATCAGGTTAGGTTTAAATCAACTAATTAACACATGACAACTTAATTAATGGGTTCCCATCTAAGATTTGAAATATCTTCTTATGTCAACTAACTGGTTGAAAATATGTTAGTATAGCTTATTTTAGCATTTGTAACAATTCGTCTAATACGAATTAATTATACAGGGTTACACAAAAATATATAATATAAGTATACGTCTTCGCTTTCTAATTTAAGAAAAATACGTCTTAGAAATCTCATTAATTTTCTCACATTTTATTTATTTTTCTTCTAATTCAAGTTTTCTTGACTAAAGGTTTTTAAGGTTTAATGAGAGATTTTATAATTTTGAATTAAACTTAATTCTAAACCTAAAATATCTATTTTCGCACCACGTTGGATATCTCTAATTTTACAACTAATGATTATGATATATTGATAATATCACAATGAAAATATGAATATAAATTGCACTATGCGAATAACAAGAAACTGCAATCCAATCAAGCTTGCATAAAGTTTGCATACAGTAACCTAACCAGCCACGGTCAGACGGCAAACTGCAATATTAAAAAGATAATCAAAGTGGAATGCGTTATGGGCCAAGAGAATAGAATATATAGAGAGGAATTTACTAGAAAAAAGTGTAAAACGGCCATTTTGATGTACTGTTTCCATACTGCAGGTGTACTTCACATATTTATGCTATATAACCTGTTGGGCCCTGGAATATCATTTTATAGAAAATCTAAAATTATTGTTAAAAGAAAACCAAATAATGAAATAGGCTGGTTTCATAATTGACCAATGATCATTTCACATAGACTCTATGCCTTCCACTTTACAAACGATGATCTTCCGTTATAACTAAATCAAATGATGTTTTTATTCACCTAATTCATTGTAAAGTTTATTTAACAGTTTAAAAAATTCGAAATTTAAATGGATAGTCTAGGCAACATACTGTATTAATGTACTCTACTGCATATAATTTGTGAACATTTACATGATTTGTACACTTTGAACTCCTTTTCAGGCTGAAAGGGACTGAAAAAATTCATACCGAGATTATTTAAATTCCTCTCTATATTATATTCCATTCTCTATGATTTCAACTTAAAATAGTTGCTCAATCTTTCAGTTTCTTCTCTCTAATATATATTCTATTCTCTGGTTATGGGGTACTTTCCCCACCCCCGCTCCCCTCACTTTACAAATTGCATTCCTTCACCACCCATCACAACCCCCACCCTCACTCTAATTGCACTCCTTCACCACCCATCACAACCCCCACCCTCACTCTAATTGCACTCCTTCACCACCCATCGCAACCCCCATCCCCACTCTAATTTTTTTAAATCGCTTATTTAGGAAGCAAAAGTTGCATAGTGCCAAACAAGCGACAAAAAACGCAAAAATAGTATATTTGGAAGTCGCACAGTTTTTGCTGCCGAATAAGCTATTTTTTATTACATCATTCAGAGTGCCCTTCCTTGAATTCGTATGTGTCTTGCACCACCTTCCAGCGTAATTTCACCCCCCCTCCCAACTCTTAAACCCCGTTTCACACTTCTAAGCAGCTTTTGATGATATCTCGTTACGATATAAATATATCTTACCAGGGCCGGGATACCATATGGACTATATCCAGGGGGTTTCAACTAAAATTATATTTTCGGAGCAATTTCGGTGCACATTGTCTATTTTATCCTAAAGGGACTGTGTTTGTAATTTGTCTATTTCATCCTAAAGGGACTGTCTTTGTAATTTGTCTATTTCATCCTAAAGGGACTGTGTTTGTAATTTGTCTATTTCATCCTAAAGGGACTGTGTTTGTAATTTGTCTATTTCATCCTAAAGGGACTGTGTTTGTAGTTCTATCTAAGAGGTGGATGCCCTATACATAAAACGGTAACTTTTAAATTTTTATCTTTAATTTTCTCCTTTGTGTAAGCTGCAAAAATCCGCTGGGATAGCTCAACCATTCTGGATCATACAATGCTTTACAGATTACCGTTGTGAATTGAACGTGCCAATCTATAAATTTTTGTTTGCTCTACATTCATTATAAAAACAAGAAAACTAATGTTTTCAGATACAATTTTTTTCGGTTTTAACTCCAAAAATCTGGTTTTCACTAAATTCACGATGAATCCCAAAAAGCATGTTATGAAGCAACTATTATTAACTTCCAACCAATGTTTAAAAACAGAACTGTTGAATACTTTCAATTTTTAGATAAAAATTTACAATGTGTCATAAAAATCCAAATCAATTAAGATAAAAATCTGTTCTGTTCAGCTAACAAAATGTAAAAAAGTGGTTTTTGACTTTTCTATTTTCTATGATTGATGCCGAGATTTTTATGTAAAGAAATCAGATATGAATAGTCCCCTGCCAAGAAAATGATATAAAAACCTCCGCATTGGAAGCTTTCTCATTTTCAATTTTTAAATTCATGATTCGTTGTTGACTAAAGTAGGAATTGAGTGTCTTTACGCCACAAACTCAAATTTTCTAGTCTCTATTTCTTTGCAGCCCAATGTCGTAGGCCTTAGATATTTCAAACTATGATTTCTGTTAGATCAAATAATCTAACTTGGTCTACGACACTGGGTTGATAACAAAATTTGTAGTTTGTTACAACTACTCAGTTCCTTTTCTCTCCAATCATTTAGTTTTAATTTTAACTCTTAAATCGTTTATCTTTACAGTTTATGGGTCATTGTTAAAGTCCCATCTTTCTTGGTAATTCTGCAAAAGTATACTTTATGAAACATTAAGATTAGATAAAAAGTATATAGAAAAGAGTTAGTCTTGCCTAATTCTCACTTGAGCATTTTCAGCAGGTTTTTGAAAAGTTATTCTATTTTGTCTTAAAAGTCTTAATTAAAAATAAATTGTTTTTAATAATTTATAGATTTTGTTTTTAATACTTGGGGCGTGATTTCATTTAGAAGAAACTATTTAACAGAAAATATGATATAAAATGACCTAAAGTATGACTTTTTACCCAGATTGTCTGAAAATCTTTGTTTGGTAATGGTAAAAATATCTACGTTCAAATGTAGACATTAGTTTGGCAGTAATAAATATCCACATGTTTGGATGTTTGGGTTGGTTTGGTTTGGTAATGGTAAAAACATAGATATTTGTTTTAAAGTTGGTTTTGTAGTGGTAAAACTCAAGAGGTTTGGTTTTGGGTTGGTTTGGTAATAGCTTATTTTTGTAGTGGTAAAACTTAAAATGTTAAGTTTTGGGTTAATTTGGTAATGGTAAAACTCAAGATGTTTGGTTTTAGGATTGTTTGGTAATGGCAAACCTCATAATGTTTGGTGTTGGGTTAGTTAGGTAATGGTAACACTCAAAATGTTTGCTTTTAGACAGGGTCGGTTGTTTTTAAAATATTGATATTCTTTTAGAAGTTTTTTTTGGTCATAAATAATGATTGGATATAGGGGTTGGTTGAATACTGAATAAATTACATATATCCTAATGTTAAATCGAAATGTTAAAAAAAATCAATAAATTCTCGTATTTCTAAGTAAAACATGCATTTTTTGGCAGTTAAATATATCTATATATCTTCGTAGAAGGACAGATACCTGTATATATATCTATCTCTGTATACATATCTATGTAATTATCTATCTATCTTGTTATACCAGCATAGGATGACTATTAATCAGCCCCTGGCCATAAATCCCTGTCCTTCATGCCACTATACACTGTACAGACTACAGGCCAACGTCAGATTATTCACAAATTTAAATGGTTTCAGACTTTCTAATTATTCAGATTTCCGAGGAATATGTCAATCTTATCAGAAACTACAGTACGCTGTATTTGTAAATAAAACTATGGGAGTTATTATTTTATTTCTTTTAATCATTAAAAACAAGAAAATATTATATTAATGAGTTTGGATGTTTATGATTACAACATTTGGTTGGTTTTCTTATTGCTTGTTTGTGGGTTTGTTGATTTAAAGAGAGTGACCGGCTATGTAAGGAAGTTGAACTGAGTATGCAGTGTTGTGAAAAACTTCGTTCGGATTCATTTGAGACATATTTAACTTTTTAAAGATCTGTAAATCCTGAGTTTGAGCGCAAATTCGATGTTCAAAACTCCTACTTTTGAGTGGATACTTTTCCAGAATTAGTTTTTTTTTAATTATGAAATAACGACGACATAAATGTAAAAAAGTTCTACAATAAACTACAGACGTCATGTATAGGAACATGTTGAGAAAATAAAAATTAATCTTATCATCGAAAATAAGTAGTTTTGTTCAATTATTAGTTTCTATTGTCTCATTATTCTGGTTTCTTATTATTCACAAAGATTTTCGCAGATTTTCTAGAAGTATCATTGAAAAGACGACATTTGAAGAATTTGAAGAAATCTGAGAATAAATTCAAAGAAAATTAGAAATTCAATATGATAATGAAAACGAAATAATCGATTTTAGCATTGATTTATTGAGAAAATTCTTTTGAGAAATATGTTCCTAACAATCTAATTAGATTACTGTACTTGAACGTCGAATTTGACCTCAAACTAAGGATTTACAGATCTTCAAAAAGTTTAATATGTCTCAAATGAATTCGAAAGAAGTTTTCAACAACACTGCATACTCAGTTCAACTACCTTACATAGCCGGTCACTCCCTTTAATGGTTTGTTAGTTGAACGAGTTAATTGGTTAGTTGGTTAGTTGGTTGGTTATATGGTTGGTTAGATGGTAGTGTTTGTTGGTAAGATGGTTAGTTAGTTGTTCGAGTTTGGTTGATTAGTTGGTTGGGTGGCTGGTTAGCTGGTATGTTGGTTGGAAAGATGATTTGTTAGTTGAAAGAGTTGACTGGTTGGTTGGTTGATTAGTTTTTTGGTCCGTTGGTTGGTTGATTAGATGGTTAGTTAGTTTGTTTATCTGATTGGTTGATTTGGGGTTTTAACGATAAGTTTACTGTTTTTTAAAGTAAAAATAATTTATTTAAAATCAAGGCTCATTAGAATACAATTTTCTTATTTTTTCCTTCTTCCTTCCTTCATCTTGCCAGTTCAGTTATTAATTGTTTGCTAGTATCCTGCATACTGCAGATTATCATCTAATTATCTTGAATTATTATTGCAATTATTCATGATAACAATCTTGCTCAGGATAATAATTAGTTTTGCATCCTTTATGAGTTTGTCTACGGCTTAATAGGAAACGTATTCTGAACATAAATGATATTTAAAGGACTGTAAACGTATTCTGAACATGAATGATATTTAAAGGACTGTGAACGTATTCTGAACATGAATGATATTTAAAGGACTGTGAATGTATTCTGAACTATTTAAAGGACTGTGAACGTACTTTGAACATGAATGATATTTTAGGGACTGTGAACGTATTATGAACGTTAATCATATTTAAAGGACTGTGAACGTATTATGAACATGAATGATATTTAAAGTACTGTGAACGTACTTTGAACATGAATGATATTTAAGGGACTGTGAACGTATTATGAACGTTAATGATATTTAAAGGACTGTGAACGTATTCTGAACATAAATGACATTTAAAGGACTGTGAACGTATTTTGAACATGAATGATATTTAAAGGACTGTGAACGTATTCTGAACATGAATGATATTTAAAGGACTGTGAACGTATTTTGAACATGAATGATATTTAAAGGACTGTGAACGTATTCTGAACATGAATGATATGTAATTTCGTTTGACTTCCCTTTAAATAGTTTTATAACCGATTTACAACGATACTCTTGCCTAGAATGAAAAATTATGGATATTTCCTTGTTTTTCTCTCTGAAATTGATACTATTATTTTTTTTAGATGAGGTTCTCCAATATATCCGAGATCTAGAGGATAGATTAGGAGTAACTGATCTCTACAGAGACGATCAATTAGGGAGTAAGAATCATTACAGGGAGGATCATTTGAACAGCAAGGATCATTATCAAGAGGATCATAGAAGAGATATTGAAAATCCCAGTCCACAGTGGAATAGTCGCCCTGAGGCAGTTTCAAATGCATTCAAGGTATTTATTAATGTAAAATTCAAGGAATGTTATTAAATCAGTTTTTTTTGTGATAATTGTCATAATTGAGAATTAATGATAAAATAATGATACTCTGATACTGATACTGATACTGATACTGATACTGATACTGATACTGATACTGATACTGATACTGATACTGATACTGATACTGATACTGATACTGATGATGATGATGATGATGATGGAAATGCTGAAATTGATGTGGATGATGATAAGCATGATACTAAACCTAATGATGATGATACAGGTGCTGAGTATCCAGGAAAGGATACTGGAAAGATCCCTGGATTCTGAGAACACAGATACCGAGCTGGAGCTGGGGGAGGGGGAGAAAGCTTTAGTCAGGGAGATGTGTAATGTAAGTAAGATGGAGGGGAGGGGAAAGGAAAAATGTAAAATTTGTCCAACTTCTTTCTGCTTTTATTATCTCTGCAGTATATTTCTAATATAATCTAATCTAATCTAAAAATTTATTTTTTTCGTTGAAAATATGACAGATTGAGCATAACTGAACATATATTTTATGCAAGGTAATCATAAAGGGATACCACAATTAAAAATAATGAAGTTTATGAGGACATCATATTTATCCTTCATCTGAGAAAGGTAAAAGAGAGCCATTGTGAATTGGACTTTCTACCTCCAATATACTTTATATATACTTTGCTTGTCTGTTCATTTCCAATAGACGTCAATACGGCTAAACCGATCCGGCTGAAATTTTTTGTCGGGTTCACATGACCCCAGGGAGGGTTTATGAATGCTCAAATTTTAAAAATTTGTCTCCAAAAATTGTTGATTTTTGTAAAATTTTGAAAATCCAAGAAAAAATTAAAAATCCGCAAATTTTTTATTATGTTTTTGTTTCATATTGTACAAAGAGAAGATGCTCACAGATAGAGCCACAACAAAAAGTTGAAATAGAAGATGTACGTGAAGGGCCCTAAAAGCCTAGTTAGAAATAAGTGACCACTTGAAATTAAGTTTCCAGCCCCTTTAAAGTTTGCTATTTTAGGTTGTTTGGAAGAAACTGGAAGAAAACTAGCAGTAAAAAAGAAGAATCTAAAGAATCCTAGATGTGTCCAGATCTGAATAGAAAACTAGCAGTAAAAAAAGAAGAATCTAAAGAATCCTAGATGTCCAGATCTGAATAGAAAAACCTGACAATATTCTAGTCCAACGAACTCCAATCAATCAATTATTAATTATTTAGACTTCTCTAATTGATTGATTGGATCAATGTGTGCCACCGATTGAAGTAGATTATAATATTTTTAAAGATGAAATGTAAATGAAATAATAGCATGAAAAAATGTTACAACATTCCAATTTTGCCAAATAGTTACTTATATGCGTATTTTAATTAAAAATGTAAGATACAGGGTGTCCCAAAAAACATGGGAATTCAGTGACGAATTCGATATCGTCTTTGTTATGAATTAGCATTGTAATACCTAATTTCAAAAGACCTAATATTATTATGTCTGCTAGAGTTTATTTAATGAAAAGGGTAAAAGACTGAAAAGATGTGTCTATAATGTCTCCGCAAGATGAACAGTGAATACGGACAAGTTTACTCTGTTTGTATACTGTAATTTTCTTGTTTTACTAAGTACAACCGGTTGCAGTCAAAACATAAACAAACAAAATGTAAACATAGCAGACGAAACTCTTACAGGTTACAGCTTTCTCAGTAGGTATCACTATACTAAATCAAAGAATTATTCATAAAGACGATATCGAATTCGTCACTGAATTCCCATGTTTTTTGGGACACCCTGTATGTAAAAAAATTATCCAAGATTTAAAAAGATATTTGCATCACAAGCAAAAATAATTGTACTAAGTACATTTTACCATGGATTAATTTATTGTTTCTTACTATTTAGTGCTAAAAGCACTAATTGATTTGATATTAGCGGCGGGCTGATTAATTTTTGTATGATGTTACAGAACTATAATTTCCATTCCTACTGTAGCGTCGCGTTGATGTCTTTGATATCGCAGCTCTTGAAACAGCTGTCAACATTTACGATACAGAGGATACACTCGGGCCCAGCAGAAGTCGGGTCACGTGACAATTATTCATAACTAATATTTACCGATAAAATTAAACACAATGTTACCACAAATGTTTACCTTCAATGTAAATTTAGTGTAATCTTTTGAATTATTATATGCTTAGTATTATTATTAATTTATGATAGAAATTTCATGATAATGTTGCCATAATTTGTTATATAAAAATATTTTGAGAAAAAATATTAATTAGCTATTTTTAATTGCTAGGGAACATACACAGTTTTTATTTGAATTTTAGAATTGTCGCCAAGGGCGTATACAGGGGGGGGGCAAGAGGGGCAGTGCCCCACCATAGATATCCTGTAAAAAACCGGAGCTTTCACATTTTTCAAATCTTATACTCAAGAGTGAAGAACATAAAAATAATTAGTTTGTTTTTATTCAGTGCACTAGGAAGATTATATAAGTGGATTAGGGCCACCATGACAGAAGTTCGAATGAAAAATCTATTTAGAATACGTACATTCATCCTTATCGGATAGGCGCTATCAGGGATAGCAAAGTAAAGCAATTATTTTTAAATTCCAATCCAAGCCACGAAGGCTTGAGTTTGTATTGGTAGTAAAAGACCAATTTTAGTTTTTTAGTTTGGATACATTAATAATTTCATCGCCGTTTTGTAATCTTTCTTCATTGCCCGTGGAATTTTAAAAATCGAATTAATACAAAAATTTATAATTTATTTAGCTTATGTCAATGAGTTTCCTCACTAAAATTCAGCACAATTGATTCAACCATTTGGCCAGCCATAGCAAACATATAAATGAATGAAGAGCTTTATTATATAGATTACAATTGTACTCGCGACTGTTTTATCATAACAGAAACTTTTACAAGTCATAAATAAGTTTATGGACCTCTGTCCCTTGTTTCATCTCATAAAATTTTACTATAAGTTGAGATTTTCATTTTCAAAAATGTCTTTTACTTTTTCTACTGTAAGTACTAATTATTACTAACATAACAGTAAAATGAAATGTCGATTTTTTAGAAACCATACTTTTTTCTGCTAGTTTTGTTTGAAGGAGATAGTTGCAAGGCAATTGGACTGTTTGTGTGTATCTTTAAAGCATCATACTTATGCCTGATATCCAAGAAGCCAAATGTTTTGAAATTACCGTTCAAAATTTGCCACCCACTCCTAGGAGCTCCTAGGGGTGGACAAATTTTTTTTGCGCTTTCGCAAATTTGGCCCCCTAGATTTATTTCTGTATATCCCTGTCGCCATAACGCTAAAAACGAACCTAATGCTTTTTATTGTCGAAACCAACCTAAAACACTTAATATACTCTATTTTTATAAACAAGGTTATGGACGGAAATGCTGTATAGGACAGATTAATTGTTCAATCAAACTAAAATCCCCGCGGAATGTTTTTTAAGCACGCGGAGAACTATTTTTTTTAATTCTAGCGGATGATTTTGTTCATTCAATCATTCTCCATTCAACATATAATAAAATATTATTATAGTACAAATGAGCATATTTTAGTGCAAATGAACAAAGTAATGTTCAATCGAACTAAAGTCTAACATTTCACCAATTGCCCATAAAATATTATTCTTACAATTAACATAATAGTGCAAATGAACCCCATTTTTTTACATACAGCGCGTCCCATATCATATTAGATTATCTCCAAGCTTTAACGCCAAAATGAACATATAATATTCGAAAAACATAGCATTTCCTGCAAGATAATTTTTATTTTAGCCTTTTTCAATTTTTTATAATGATTTATTCTTCTTAAATTTTCTGATTAGTCCCGGAAATTGTAATTTAGACCCATTGACGATCTAATATGATATGGGACACCCTGTAGCATGACATGAGAGGTTTCCCGAAGATGAGAAGTATTCATCAATTATCATAAATACGTCCTTATTATGATTAATAAAACTTTATACATTCTTTACATGAAAAGAAAAATATTTAAAGAAAAAACTTTGAATTGAATTTCATTTAATCTTTTATAATCTTTGATTTAGCATTACCTTTTTTTTGCAGTTCATATTTAATCAAGAAAATTTGTATTATTTATTCAAATCTTAACATTTTTCTAAAAAAGGTATTGTTTAAATCAAAGATTACAACAAAAAAACAATTAAATTTACTCTACATATATTTCTTTCTGTGTAACAAATGTTTAAAGTTTTAGTATAAATCTTCTAAACCCTTTTATGAGTCCATATATATGGTCTAATTATGACAATCAATAAATTAATCTAATCTTTAGTAAAATTCTTATGCCACTAAGTCAAAAAACATTGTTAACATTTTTCATTACACATAAAAAAAGATTTAAAAAAGCTGTTCTGAATGGTGGAGGCTCGTTCAATGCATAGTGGAGGCACGGTCTGCATAGCGGAGGCTTTGTCTGCATAGTGGAGCTAGGCTCGGTCTGCCTAGCAAATCTGGGAGGCTCGTTTCTGCATAGCAGAGGCTCATCGGACAGAATGTTTCGATGTAAACAGGTTTTAAAAGTCGTCTTTTGTAAAGTTACCGTCTTCACTCTTCACACTTCTTTTAGAGTACACTTATTTCAATATGGCCACCGGCGGCGTGTGGTTGTGTTGTGTATAATATAAAGTCGGTTCGATTAATTTGTTTTAATTTTGATGTCAATATCATAACATTACTGTATATTTATATTCCAGATTAACGAATAGTTCTGCTTTAGTGTGGCATTTTAGGAATTAGAATGGCGACTGCAGTTTCAGACTTGCGGGAACATTTACAGGTACGAATCTTGTAATTCTACAATTATCACAAATTAACACTGTGTATAAATATTAAATAATAATAGGACAGTTAACAACAATGATATTTCATTAGGGTCAGTTGTCAGCAAAGCGTGATTCTCTGACAGCCACTGAAGATCAGGTTAGTCATGGGGTTTAGCCCGTCAATAGAAAGAACCCGGTAACCTCATAGAGAACTATGTATTGACCCCGCCCCCTCCCACCCATTTCTATCAATTTTGTACATGCATCTCGTATTTAACACATGGATTATGTTGGTCATTTGGTCGCAGCGCCCGAACCCGGCCGGCCGGGCCTGTCCTAGCCGCGGCGCTAGGCCCAGAAAGTGTCTTTAAGTAAACCCTATATATGTAAATTTTTTTGTTGAAATTGAACACCTGTCCTAGCCGCAGCGCTCGGCCCAGAAATTGTCCTAACCTAAGCTAACCCTGAAATAATATATAATAAATATTTTTTGTTGTTGAAAGTAGCTGAAATATAGGTCATGTTCAAAATTGAATGGGAGGGGAGAGTCCAAAATCGTTCTTCAGGACAGACCAAAGAACCCTACTTATGTCTAGTTAGTTTTTAATTCAATCCTAGTGAATTAAGGGTATTTTTATTGAGAACGCCCCCTTTCCGGGCCCCCCTTCTATCACTTTTTACTGAAAGCTAATTTGTTACACAGGTTCAAAGTTGTACATATGGCCGCTGTGACTGGCCTCCTTGCCTGTAGTACTCGTCCCAGAATCTGTTTTCATAGCTCTGTGTAATTTCCTAGAACGTTTTTTGGACATAAGGATAATTTTGCCTGGGGGCGCAGCGCCCGGTCCCTTAGCCTGTCCTAGCCGCGGTGCTCGGCCTCCTAGCCTATCCTATCCGCAGTTCTCGGCCCCCTAGCCTGTCCTAGCCGCAGTGCTCGTCCAAGAAACTTATGATAGCCTTGGGAAATTAATGTTAAGGAAAGCTGAACACGAGATCTGTTCAAACTGTACAGGGGGTAGGGGGGTGGTGAAGGTTGGCATTTTCTAGGACAACCCCATTTCGGAATGTGAATTATTCATTGATATAAACCAGTTCCCAAACACAATATTCTGTATTTTAAAAATAAACCATGTATCTTCCTCCGTGAAATTGTGCTTGTGTTCTGGATAAAAGTATCCTAAGAAATTCAAAAGTTGTTCTTTTTACCCCTCAATATAGTTTTCAAGTTGGGGGGGGGGGGGCGTATTATAAAAATAAAATTCTTGAGGAATAACAAATGACATAATTATAACAAAAACAACTTAAGTGACCTGCGCTGCCCGTGGAATTATTAATAAATAGAATTTTGAAAAAAATTACTTGTGGAGAACAACATTTTACTCCCATGGGTTCCCTTAAAAAAATTCAAAGCTAACGTATACATTATACATTCATAAAGATATATAAATATATATTACAGAAGAGCTTTATAATAGACTTAATTTCAGGTTCGACGTTATGTCGGTGAACGCGCTTTGCTCTCTGGCCGGGGACGGGGAGGAGTACGAGGGGGGAGGGGAAGGTACGTATGTAGCTTAATGGGACTGAAGTAGTGTTAAGTGAGCTTCAAAATTTTGAGTGAAATGCTTGATTTTCAACCTTGTCCTCCTTTAAATCTTTATATGATCATGAATGAATGCGTTATCCGTGCTTTTTTTTTGGATATTTATTGTTTAACATTTTTTTACGAACGTATATGTAGATTCAGCCTTCTTATTTAAAGTCTAGTTTTAGACAAGGTCAATTTTGAATTGGTTTGGGTTAAGATTTTACCGCTCCAACTCACATATACTCTTCTGTAGCCCTTTACATGTACATTTTAGCACTTAACAGCACTTGTTGTTAACTTTGGGTTTTAAGTAGAAATTGGCAAAATTCTCTTCGATTTTTGCCTGAGAGCTAGAGACCTTTAATTCACAGTGCTGCGTATCGCACAGAAAGATAAAGATTTCCGGGGTGCCGTTGTTAAGAAATCGGGCAGGGGCCTTTTTTTCAATTGGGGATTTGACAATTATTTGGAACGGAGCTGTTTTAAAATTGGATTGCTGGAGGGGAATCTAGTTAATGGCTGAGCTTTGATCATTTCTTTCATTAGGAAAACGTATTACAGCTAACAGATATCACTCTTATCCAAGTTCATGAAAGAATTAATTTAGCATTCATTACACAAAACAATCATTCTCTAAAAATTGGGTTTTTTTTTCTGGGAAAATTTATTAGAAATAATACAGACTTTGCTAACCACTGTAACAATTTTTGTTATTCAGATGTAGAAAGAACATTTTCTTGATAATTCCCTCCTTATGAAACAAAAACATCCCCCCATGTTTTATGAAAAGGGTGACGAAAAAAGGCCAATTTTTCTTTATGAAAAACTGATGGCATTTGAATAAAATAAAAGCATTTTAAAAAAGCAAGAATATCAGTGACATCTCTTCTAAAAAACGTGACGTTGATTTTAATTTGTATCTCAAGAAAAGTCAAATTGATGACCACTACTACGTTACTCTTGTTTTCCTTGTTCAGATAATAAAGGAAAAACAAAAGACAATGTTATTTAGAAATTTGAAACTTGATAAACAAGTTCCTAAGAATTTAGAAGTTATTTTTAAAAATTGTTGAACCTCATAACACTTAAGCTTCTTTATAAATCATCATCATCAAGTTTTGTGTCCAAGATGCTAATTGCACGGGCGAAGAAAAAATTAAAATCAGTATGGGGCGATAATGCCTAGCAAATGTTGGGATCAAAAAAAAAATTTCTGATAAAGACAATACTAAAAGAATTGTCTAATTTTTTCCGATTTGTCTTCTTTATGAATAATACAATATGATACATTGAGTTTTGTGGATTTTTCTTGAATTAAGGAGACAATTTTAAAATTCATAGGTATAGAACGCATTAATTTAACAATTAAACAAAATAATGTTCTATTAGACTTAATAGATCTTTTTAAACAGTAAATGTTGATAAAATAAAATAAATGAAAATGCGACAAATTTCCATAAAATGTATTTTAGGCTGGAAGGCGGGCGGGGCCGGGACCTGGGTGGACTGGGGGAGGAGCGGAGACGAAGCGGTGAAAATGACGCGGACCGGAGGAGGTGAAATATATTTATCATGCATAAAAGGGACTGTACACGTACATTTAGTGTTGTGTCCTATTCACAGCGGTGGCCTTTAAAGTTTTGTCATTGTCTTTAAAAATTATTTTCAATCGGTAATTTATGAATTACCTATTTCTGTTACACTAATTGGAACTCCCTTATTGTTGATCGGATAAAGCACCGGTGTGAATCGGACTAGTGAAGGTCTGTTTTCTTTTCCGAGCCTTCACAAGTATCTGAGACACTTCTCATATTTTGAATTTGTATGCTCTTCTTCAGTTTGTTTATATCAGTACACTGTGCTAAAAACTATTGGTAAACTAGTTTTGATTTATTGTTCTGGTTAATATCTGTAGACTTAACATTTTAAATTATGAAATTGAAATAATAGCTATTTTACAAACAAGCAATTTACTATGTGACATTAAGGATTGTAATGAAACCTCTTTAAAAGTCTAAAATCCTTGAATGGTTAAATATGGACGGGGGGGGGGGGGGTCAATCCTTACGTCCCACCCCTTATTTTTATTGTTGTAACATGTTTATAGATGTCCTATTTGATGAGGGGGAGGGGGGGCCCTGCCTTAATTTTTGGTTCAATTTTTTTTGGCTGCACGCCTAATTTGTGTAAATGTTCCAAATGATTTTCAAAAAATTTAATTAATTTCGACACTAATGACCTCTAATGATCTCTAATGACCTATAATGACCTCGAAAAATAAATGTTTTAACGATGGCTTTATGCATATCAAACGAAAGCTAGGAAGCAGCGAAACCAGTGTTTGACCTTCTAATGACCTCTGACGACCTCTAATTTAGGAGTTCTCTGGCGGACAGACTGGGGGAGCCTCTCAATCGGGATAGGGAGGAGGAGGATGCCATGAATAAACCTGTTATGTCTAGAGTTATCAGGGTAAATATCCCCCCCCCCCCCGAGAAAATTTCAAAATGGAAATATTTAGCTTCGAACATTCGAGAATTTTTTCTTAGTTTGGTAACATTTAAAGGGAGTGACTTGCTAGACATGGTAGTTGAGTTGAAATTGCAGTATTGTACAGAAAATTTAAGGATCCATTGGATACTAATGAGACATTGTTAAGAATTGTTTTATGTTTCTTCTGCTGACTGAAACAACTGGAGAAATATTACAAACGACTTCACTCTTTTATTTAAAAATTATATAATGTATACCGTAAAAATGTTTTCCTCTACACTAATGCACTTTTAGCCTAACTACCATGTCTAGCAAGTGACTCCCTTTAACTAATTGCACTGCAGTGTCTTGGGATCAATGTAAATGACATGAGGGTTCCAAACCAGCTGATATATTTGTTGCCACAAAATAGTTTTTCCACTTGCCCCCTTCTGGGAAACAAAGAGGAGGGAAAAGGATATCTATAAATAGAAAAATATCTATAATATCTATTATTATATCTGTTATCTATATCTAATATTTCTTATAACATTAATTAATTTCACATTTTATGTGATCAGGGTTTTCTCCCGAAAAACTATTAAAAGGGCAAAAAGTAGTAAAAAGGGGAAAACTTTGATATTTGAAGTCCAACTTTCAACCCTTTCCCCCCCCCCCATATTTCTAATAACATACTTTCGAGTGTTTCGTTAAGGAATATTATACAGTATACACTCCTGTAAATATCTGATATATAGTTCTATTTGTTTCTAGGAAGTCAAGTCACGAGATGAATTATACAGTATACAGTATACAGTATACAGTATACAGTATACAGTATACAGTATACAGTATACAGTATACAGTATACAGTATACACTCCTGTAAATATCTAATATATAGTTCTATTTGTTTCTAGGAAGTCAAGTCACGAGATGAGGCTTTACAAGAACAAGTTCCAGATAAAAAGGTATTTTAACAACATTTTATACAGTTGAAACTTTATCGGAATTTTTTTTTAATCATTTTTCTGAAGTTAAAAGTTTTATTTTTTTGTTATGATCCAAAAGAACACGGTCTTAGCTGGACACTATTACGTTGGATACTCTTTATCCAGTTTGCTTAATCTAGATATCCACTGTGATCACTTGATTTTCACAGCTTCTGATTGGCTGTTTTTTTCCTGCAAACAAATGAATTTTAGACACTTTCCTGGCTTTCAAATAAAAATTGTATTAGTCTTTAGATTAAACCAAAAAGACGGGATCAAGTATTGATCTCGATATCTACAATGCAAGAGTTTCTAGCTCTGCAAAAAGTTAAGTCACAATGTAATTAAACTTACAATTTAAAAGTTTGACCTTAATACCTTATTGCAGGATCATTAACTTGTTTCTTAACTATTTTATTCAGATTTTTTTCCATCAAAATATATGATTTGAAAACTTTATACAGAGCAATATTTATTATCTCCGATTCGATTAAATTAAAATACGACATCATTTTGTTGTTAATCTGCAAGTTATGTGGATTGTTGATCCACGGATTCTGATAAAATTGACAAAATAGCACCAAAATATACTAAAAAACCTTTGTTTTCATAACACCAATATTATCTAACGTGTCAATTTACGATAAATCATTGAAACCTTTCAGATCTTTCAATGATCAAGTTTCAGTATATAATGTTTCGTTGAAAACGGGAAGAAAATATTAAAATTATTTAATTGTAAAATAAATTAGTAAATATTCATTTACTTGATCTGAGGCCAAATTTAAAGAACCGCAAAAAACCGGTTCCAATTGAGCGCTGGCTCAAATCTCGGAAACACTGAATACAATTTTTTAAGTTGAACTAATCATGTTTTAGCCGCGTCTCGAATTTGAGACGCGGGTCAAATTCTTCAAGCTCTGCCTCCGGATCTATATATTTTACCGTGTCTGGATTTGCAACAAAATGAATCTTTTTAGCAGGACTTTTTTTTAGGTTGACGCCCGTAATCGTCGTCTCTTCGGTTCCCTAATGGGGACCCTGCAGAAGTTCAGCATGGAGGAGAAGAAAAAGAAGGAGATGACCTTGAAGAAGAAGGAGGTGGAGAAGAAGATAGAAGAGAAGACGGAGAAGGAGAAGGAAGATTTAAAGCTGAAGAGAAGAGAGCTGCTGGATGAGCAGAGACAGAAGAAACAGGATATCAGGTATTCAATAAAACTTGGCTTCCGAAATGCTCCTTTTTCTCGTATTTTATAGTTTTTGATTTTTTTTTCGACGTAGATTTTTTTGTTCATATTGGTGGACTTAGACCGGTAATTAACATTTCCTGAGGCCGAATTTAAAGAATATGAGCCGCGGTTTAAATTTAAGCCGTGGCTTATATTTTTTGTGGAAAATTTCAACAATAAAATTTCCACTTTTAATTTTCATCTTCAACTACAATTGTTGAAATAGATAGTTTTCCGTTGATAAGAAATTATAAGGTTTTTGAAAATATCCGGATCAACCGATCCGAATCTAAGGGAGAAAAATATAAACCAAAAAGTGCAAAAAAAATTTACTCTCCTAACCCAAATCTTAACTATTGAAAAATGAGAGGTTAAAAAAATGTCTTGATTTCTGAATGGTTAATCAAGTTTAGGCATAAAAATAGGCGAATAAAGTAACACACCAAATTTGAAAATTATGCTTTGTTTAAAAAAAAATCAGTAAATCTTTAAGAAATAACGTGGATCCGGATCCGGATCCATTTTTTCAGTGCGGATCCAGGATCCGGATCCGCATCAAATTTGTCTAAGCACTACTTTTCATAATTCAACTAGAATTGTATCAACGGATAGTATTACATAATTCAGTAGTTAATTTAGTCTTTATAAGATAATTTTAGTGTTCACTGATTATTCTGTAAGTTATGAAAGTGAGTTTTGTTTTGAATTGTGGATTATACTCAAAAACGGGAAAGTGGGTTTTGTCTCGAAAACGCGCAATGTTTTAAATTCAGGATATGTTCGATAATGGAAAACCTGATATTGTTTATGAAACAGGTCAAGAGATTAAATATAAAAAACTCCTATTATAATTTTGATCTCAAAAAAAATTTAAAATTGGGAATTGTTGTCCTCGTCATGTTTAATAAAATGTTGGTTATAGTATTTATTATTGACTTTTTCTCTGGATATGGGCCGGGAGTCTTTCAATTTGTGCCCATTTCTAACACTGAGTGTTAGAAATGGGCCAAGTGTTAGTTTTGAAACTAATGTCCCCTGTATTTTTCCGTTAGCTAGAAGATGCATTAAGGGATGTTAGTTATGGTAAAACAAAGAAAAACGCATATTTTTTAACAAAATTGTTAAGCAAAATATCAGAGCCATTCCCTTGTAACTTATTTTAAAATAATTTTCTTGAAAATAAAAAATATTTTCTTTGTAGGATCCTTCAGGCTCAGATGTATCGTGTTGAGGATTTCGAAACATGGGAGAATTCTAAGAAAACTGAAAAATGTTTCATTAAAACTAAAAAAGGTAAATACCCCCCCCCCCCCCCCCCCTCCCCACAACATCCCCATTGCATGTCGGAATCATAAGTATACCTAAATGAGTTGAAAATTAGATATTTTCAATTATAGTTTCTCGGTAAAACTTGCGGGTTTATGCTGGAGATGCAGAAGAAAGTTTAAAAAATTAACATTTGTAGTTGTATGTTTGCCACTGTATACCAAAAATGCAACTCTTAAAATGAAGTGTGACGTAAAATTACGCCTATATTCTCCTCATTTGAATAATTAGAGTAAAATCTATTAAAATTGGACTGCTTCCGCCGAACAAATTTCCCTAAAATATGGCATGAAAATATACGACACTTTTCTAGGCTTTCAAATATCAATCTTAATTCGAATTTTGAACAGATTTTAATTTAAGATTTTTATCAGCAGACCTAATGTTTTGATTTTTACTAATGCTATGTTTGCCAAAAAGTCGAAGAAAGCAAAGACTATTCTACAAAGAAAATACTAGTAAGAGTTAAAAGAGTAAAAGATATAATCAAACATTAAGGATGTCAAAAATCGACGCGAATTAAAAAGATGCTTGAAAATGCTTGTTTTGCGTAGAATTTTTATCTTTTTCACAACTCATAAGGCCAAATTTTTTTTTATTATTATTTACATTTAGAATGGGGGGAAATATTCCCACAACCTCTATTTTTGGAGGTTTTAAAATATTTTCTCCTGAACACTTAATTTTGTATGTTTTTGTTATATTTCATAAATAAATAATTACTTAATTAATCAATTAATTAATGCACTGAATAATAACAAACTTACGCAGGTAAACAACCTGTGTTCTGGTTTCCTAAAACCCACAACTCAAAAACCCACACACTGCTACAGGTAAATATTTTAACTTGGCTTATGGGCAGGGCTTAGGATCCGGAAGATTTTGGCTTCCTAGATCCGGATCCGCAAAATTATGCGGATCCACGGATCCGGATCCAAGGTGCAAAATATCAACCAAAAACTGAAGAAGAAAATAATTTACTCCAAAACCCAAATGTGAACTGTTGAAAAAAGAGAGATCATGAAAATTTCATGAATTCTGAATGGTTCAACGTTTTAGCATAAAAAATAAGCAAAAAAAATAATTTGAAAATTCTGCTTTTGATTAAAATCATTAATTTTAAAGAAATAACCTGGATTCGGATCCGTATCAAAATTAAATGGATCCTTAGCTCTGCTTTTAGGGCGAATTTTTGATAATTCGATCATCCAGAAACCTTCCCTGGGGTCATGTGAGGTCCCACACAAAATTTTTTACCCTGATTAGATTAGCCGCTTGGACGTTTATGGGATACTAACGGACAGACTGACAGACATGCAAAGTTTACATGTAGAAGTTCGGTCTGTTTGTTGGTCTGTTGGCTGAAATTGGGCTCACATTTTGTGTAGGACCTCACATGACCCCAGGGCAGGTTTATGTATGCTCAGAATTACAAGAGGTTGTTTCCAAAATTTTAAAATTTGGAAAATCCACGAAAATAAATTTAACCCCGTAAAATTTGTTTTTATTGTTGTATTGAAGAGAGAAGAAGCTGAAAGATTGAGCAACAATTTAAAGTTGAAATGGAACATTATTGCCTTGCTGTTTTATACTGGCGAGATTAAAAAACGGAAAATCGAAAAATTTTAACAATAATTGGTGTAAAAATGTGAATATTATACATTTTCCTAATCTTTTGATTTCTGAGGAACAAGAAAAATGTTTTTATAAATTCATATTTAATGATGAAAAGTGTTCCTTACAATTCTTAAAAATCTTGATTAAAATTTTCTCCTCGATAAACATATTTTTTGCTGTTAATGTAAGTCTTATATTGTGCACCATTATTAGTGAATAACAAAATTCAATTAAGGTTTCTTTTATAAACATTAAACAACTAAAGTGTATGTGTGTTGATTTTTTAGGTTAATTTTAGGTTAAACTCGATTAAATGTTGTTGATTGATTAAGAATGATATTTGTGAATGCTTAATTAGGAAGAATATATACGAGTTGATTGATTTATTGATTGATCACTGATCAGGTTATTATATCATTTATGCATTATAAATCTATATTTATTCAGTCAGTACATCGTTCTTTATCTGATTAATAAACTTATAGCTTCATTGATCGATGCACTGATGTTTTCATTGAATGAAACGTTTAAGTTGATTGATTAATTCACTCGTTGAATTGAATCGTTGAATCATAGATCCAACGGATACAGATCCGGATCCTAAGCACTTGATGAGTCTCGTCAAGGTTGATTGATTTATTGAATCATTCATTGTTATTCATTTGTAAATTGATCAAAAGACTGATATCTTCATTTATTAATCAATGAATTGATTCATTCATAGGAATTTTTTTCTATCTTTTACTTGATTGATAAATGGAATTTTGCTATTTGATCTATGTTTCTATGAATCATTAATATTTGACTGTATTTTCAATCTATGTTCTTTCTAGGAGTCTCAGGACAGAGTGGATAAAGAGATTGATGAACGGAAGGAGTTGTTCGAGGCTGAACTCGTTGAGATCGAACAGAGGCTTAAGTTTGACAGGTATAGAAGAGAGGACAAGGACACGGACAGGGCAGGACATGATTGGTATAGAAGAGAGGACAGGACAGAGTAGCAGGGGATCAGTAATATTTTGCCTAGTACTCTTTCGCCTAGTACTCATTCGCTTAGTACACATTCGCCGTTTAACATTTGCCTAGATAACAGTTTGCCTAAATTACAGTTTGCCTATATAACAGTTTGCATATTAAACATTTGAGTGTATTTTCGCCTAAACCATGAATTCTTGAAACACTCACCAACTTTGAAACAGGAAATTCCACGAAACTGATCTGATAAATCAGACAATTCAGTCGTTTTTTTTTCTCGTTAAAATATGGAAGCACTTATCAAAGCTGGAGTATCTAAAAGAGGAAAGCCTTCCATTATTGATAAGAACAACTAATCATATGTTGGAAATGAACACATAGATGCCCTAGAAGACTACAAAAAAACAGATCTCTTACAAGCCATGGAACGAATCAAGTTTTTTGTTGAAGGATTTAAAACTACTCCAAGGCAGGAGTACATACAACAAATTGCTCATAAGTTGAGCTGGGCAGCCAAGTAAAGTTGCGAATTCTATCATTCTATGCAGACAAATATGATGTGATATTATGTTTTAAGAATATAATTGAAAAACCTGTTAACAAATTTGATCAAATCTAAGAATTGAGCAAAAAAAACAGTTGCATTATCAAATTATTATATTGGCAAAATGTTATACTTGCTAATGCGTACTAGGCGAATGAGTGTTAGGCGAAAGTTTATAGTCAAAATGCTACCAACCCGGACGGGACGGAGGAGACAGAGGACAGGGACTAGGGCAATGACAAACAAACTTCTTTCTATAATGTTTGTTTGTTTTAACCCCTTGTCCTGATTTACCTTAAGTTCATTTGTTAACCGTTATGAAAATTAATATAATAAAGAGTGCTTATTTTTGAGCTGTTCATAACTATTAGGCGTATCAGAAATATTCAGTGCTTAGGATCCCTAATATTTTGGTTTCTTGGATCCGGATCCGTAATGATAATGCGGGCAATCCACGGATCCGGATCCTAAGGTCAAAATATCAATCAAATACTGTAAAAAAAAACCTTTTGCTCTCAAACATCAAATCTGAACTCATTAAAAAAAAATCTGAAAAATAAATATTTTCAAAGAAATTTAAATTTTGAAATTTTTATTTATTAAAAATAAAACAGTTTATCTTAAAGAAATTTTCATGAACTGGATCCGGATCCGGATCCATTTTTTGGGGCGGATCCAGGATCCGGATCCGCATCAAAATTAAATGAATTATAAGCACTACCAATGCTCATTGCTCAATTGTTTTTATCTACAAAATGCAAAAGTGAACAATCCATTATTTTTTCAGGAGACGTTCAGGAGAAGAGGTTAAGGATGAGGAGGAGAAGGAGAACAGAGAGGAGAAGGATGGGGAGGAAGAGGGAGAGGAGGAAGGAGGGTTTTTTGCTGATAGGAAGATAGTGGAACGAGAGGATAAGGTATAAACCTATTGACTGCAGATTTTGTGACTGCTGTGAGACTGTTCTAGACTTCAATACTTTTTTTTGCAATTTTTTGTGTCTGAAAGTTTTGTTTTTATTAATATGAAGTTTAATCTGGGATTTCAATTTATCAAAGATATAGTCCAGATTAAGACATAAATGTGTAACGGATGTTTTATTCATTTTATTATTATAAAGATTTATTCACACACAAAGATATAAATACATATATAAATGGTGTAGTTAAAATTTGTTTAAATAAATTTTTTTTTTTTTTACTTGATGACTGGCTTGTTCCTTTACAGTGGTCTCACTATCCATTTCCTCCAGGGAAGTATTTAAAGAATTATCCAAGGATTTTTTGGGTTTTGGCCCCATTTTCGCCACAAGATTGGCGAAAGCCAGATTATATATAGAATCTTCCAGAATTCTATGAATGTACTTTAAAGTTGTGTGAAAGCCTTGAATTGAGAAAGCAGTGTGTAAACTGCCTAAAACACTCTTACAGAGAGATGTTTACTACTCAACTGTCCTGAACTAACTTGCGGGAGAAGTTTGTGAAATAATTCGCAAACTTTATATTATGTTTCTGATATCCACAAAGATTAAGATTTTTTGCTGTGGCCTGCAATTAGATAAATTTTGAATATATACAAATAAGTTATCCATCTACAGGTCAAGTTTTGCGCTAGTATTCCACATATTGAGAATGGAAATTAGAAACCCTAATTAAAATTTTGTACAATTCAAATTATTCATGCCTAGGATGAACTGCAAATGAACGGGCATTCTAAGTCAGCTGAGAATGGGGATGAGCCGGAGCAGCAGGTGTTTGTAAAAAAGGAGAAGGAGGACAGGAAGGTGGTGGAGAGGGAGGCCTCCAAGGAGAAGGATAGGAAGGTGGTAGAGAAGGAGGTGTCCCCGGAGAAGGAGGTATCCAAGGAGAAAGGAGCAACCAAGGAGAAAAATGAGGAGACGAGAAGTTCTAAAGACAAGGAAGAAACTAAATCTAAAATAGATGATAAGCGACGAAGTCGTGAGGATACGAGAAGAAGAGGGAAAGACGACCAAAGAGATTCAAGAAGACGAGGAGATTCAGGAAGACGAGGAGATTCAAGAAGACGGGGGGATGAGAAGGAAGAGAAGAAGATAAAAGAAGAGAAGGAGGACAAGAAAGAGAAGAAGAGAAGAGACGGCTCGGAAGATTCAGAGAAAGATTCAAAGTAATTTTATTTAAATATAGGGATTTATATTAACTTATTAAATCTTTAATAATAATTCTTCCTTTTCAAAAATTTACCCATTTTGATATTTTAAGAATAACAGATTTGGGAATGTCGTAAAAAGATCTGAACTATTTTTTTATTAATCCCCGTGATCGAGAATGTTTCAATAATATAGGAAATGGCTTAATACAGTTCAGTTCTCCAAATTAAATTATCGTAGTTTAAATGTACTGTAGACTGCAGAGTGCATAGTGTAGACGTAATAACCCTCCATTTAGGGAGTGGCATGTCTGAGGTTTAACAGTACCTTTTCAACCGTTATTTAAGTAACGATTGGGAAGACATTGTAGTTTGTTTAACTTTTAAAGTGTTAATTTCTGACAATTTCAAATTCTCATCCCACTAAAAACTGCGTCTTCAGTCTTGTAAATTCCTTGTTTTTAGGTCCAGAAAGCGTAAGACAAGTTCTACTGGAAATAGAAAAGCTGGAATTAAAAAAACTAAACCCGATTCATCCGATTCATCCTCTAGCAGCGAGTAAGTGAACTTTTCAACATACTAATTTTTATAGTTTTCTGGGAAAAATTTGGCATGAGAAGGAAATTTTGTTCATTCTTTTTTATCCTTTTTCATACTTTTTATCCATATTTTTGTGTATTTTCCTCTTAAAAGCATTTATTTCCCCCAATTCAGCAAATAAAACTTTTTTTCGGGGGGGGGGGGGGGAAGGTATCTTTTGAAGAGGGTGCAATAATTTTTTAAGGAAAATATTTACCCCGGATATTTTTTTGAGGGAATAAATCATCTTGTTGCCCTCGCAGAAACTAACCAAACCAGTCGAAAAACTGAAAGAATCGGTTTAAAAAAAACCTGAACTTGGTGTCCAATACAGTTTTTGATGCAAGATTCATTTGATCATTATAACATTTTTTCGAAATGTATAATCTATAATCATAATCATAAATTGAATATGTTTGTTTTAAGATTTAGTCCATAATGAGCTTTTATTTCCAATAATGTTTGACATAAATTGTTCGGTTAGTATTTCTCTTTTAAAAAAGTGCACCGCAAACAACTGCCATCAATGTTGAATGTTGATTATTAAGTGGATTATTTATAATTAACTGGGTTTCTAATGAAAAATTAGTGCCAAGTGGTATCTTCACTTAATTCAACTAATTATACCCCTGTTATAAGTTCACTGGGTGTCCCACAAACCCAGAAAAACACCCTTTAAATAATTGGTTTGATTTCTTTATCATTTTTGGGAAATATTTTTAAAGCTCTTTGATACCAACACTGTTTTTCTCTTTAACTCCTCCTTAAATAGAATTTGAGAATGGATATATTTCCCAAAGGGGGCAAAAATCTACCATCTCTCCTACCGTTATCTGTTAAGAGAATTTATTTCTAGGTGTATTTCAAGTTAAACAAAATTTCTATGTTACTTTTTTCTACTTAGTTACTTTGATTCATAACTTGCAAAATTCTTGATATAAATAGAACTGGGATGTATGTATATTAAGGGTGATTGATTTTGCCCATATTATGTGCATAGTGTTGGTTTTGGATATTAAAACAGCAATTAAGAAAAGGCGATTTTTTCGTAAGTTGAAATTGCCAACTGGAAACCGGTTTTTATGAAATTAAAGATTAAATAATTTACTAACGCAAGCGAAAAAAAAATACATCAATATGGGTACCAAAAGATCCGTCTTGAAATTCCAAGTTCCGAAGTTCTAAAATCGGAGTTATCCGTTCATAATTTAACAAATCGTAGGCAAAAAACTATTATTTGAGATAAAAAATGGCGTTCTCCAAAAAATCATTTTTTTGGCCGTATATCAAACAATATTAAAAAAAATTGAAACAAATAAGAGACGGTTTTCACCGACTGCAGACGCATCTTTTAATACCAATTTCGATGTGTCGTAAAAAAGGGGATGGTGGAGTTGGCACATTTGATGTAGGGGGGGGGGGGCCCTGCCTTCATTTTTGGTTCAAATCTTCCAATTTTTTGGGTGCACGCCTAATTAGTGATCGAAAAAGTTGTCTGAGAGTAAATGACATTACTTTTTAATAATCCACACTCCTGGTTCTCTAACC